TGCTGAAGCAGGATCCCTGGAACAGGAAAACCAGGTGGGTTTTGAGTATCTCCAAAGTAGAACACTATTTCTCAGGGCAGACTGTTCCAGTGTGTTCCAGCAATGGCCCACAGGCTGCTTTCTCTGGACCTGTTCTCTTGTCAGCTGTGCTGGAGTCAGTTATTTCCTGCATCCAGCAGGCAACAGATGACTCAACACAAGCCATCACACACAAGCTCGGGAGCATCACCCTAGGCTGCAGCTGGCCCCAAGAGCCCCCAGCCCTGTACTTCCCCATCACAAGACACATGGAGCTGCATCACATCAGTGCTATGCTTTGCAAAGCCTTCTGTAAAGCACCACATAGATTTGAATGCAGTACGGGATATGATGCAGCAATTATCAAGTAATAGCAAAGACATTTCCACTTGAAACGTGCTTCAAAGCCACTCACACGTGCTGCCTGCCTGCATGGTAAAAAGACGCAGAGCCAGGCTGAACCTTTTCTTGGCAGTTGTACAGTCAGTCCCTTTGGACTTTCCAAATACAACCCTGCAAGTTATTTGAGCTCACATCATTTCCTTCCCTCACTCGCCTTTTCGGCAGCAGCTCTGCCAGTTGCAACAGGGGAATGCTTGCAATGGCAGAGCCCCAGCTGAGCCTCATACCACACTGCTATGGCAGGGACAGCAACAGCTATCTGTCAGGGAGTTTGCTCTGTGCCATGTGCTGGGGGCTGTGCGGTGATGGGGCTGTGCTGCAGCACCTTCAGCAAGGGATCTGTCAGGCACTGTCAATGCAGGGCAAATTACAGAGGCGGGGGATTTAAATTACTTATAATTAAATTATATCATTTTATACCACAGCCCCTAAGATTAAAGAACGTACTGAAAACTCGCAGTAAATCTGTCTGAAGAAAGGAAAAAAAGGGAGCAAGAGAGAAACTAACGCTGATGCAGGAAAAGGGTGCACCCAGTCACAGGTTCTGATCTAGAACATTTAGTTTCAGACCTTTTATCTGTTGTTCCATTCACTTACTGAGTGTCAGACCTCAGCTGGTTTCGCCTCGCTCCTGTGCTGCAGCAGCCAGGCACCATGCCCAGCACTCCTGGCCCTCTGGGACGGTCACATAGTACTGGGCCCAGAGCCGGACAGACAAACAGTGGGATTCTGCACAAATGGGATGGGAGCTTTCTTTAGTGTTCTACACTGTTTGTCTTTTTTTCTAAGCATACTTCTAAGCACACTTCCCAAGGACCATCCATGAACTTCCCTGAGTTTTTATTCTTCTTCTCCAGTTTTCAAATCCCAGTATTCTCACAGGAATTAAAGCACATGATCCTCACCAGCATCGATCTGTTTTGCTTCCAGAGAGACATGGCTCTGTCAGCAGATGACAACTCTTGACCTCTGCTCCTTACCACGGCTCCATCCCTCATGCTGCTTCAGGCAGACATCAGCTCTGCCTTCCCCTAATCACTCTGTGGCTCAATTCATGGTGCGGCATGGCAGTGTGTGCAGACAGAGGGTGACGGATTGTGTGAGGACAGGGCAGTGTGACAAATGTGATGTCAACGGTCCCTAAATGCAAAGCCTCCTGCTGCCATTCCACCTTTGGGAAGGGAAGGGACAACCCCCTGCAACATGCCCCAAAACAAGAACTGACAGCCATTTGCTGACCTAGTGCCACTGTTACCCCGTGCAGGGCATGGTGCTGGCTTGCTGGGATGCTTACTGCAGCTGCCTTCTGCTGCCTTCCTGCATTAGCTTGACTTCTTCATTAAGCATGCCAAGGAAAAGATGCTTTGTTTTATAAATTAGACTATTATCTCAGATTCACTTTCTCTCTTCACTTAATGAAAAGCAAATTTCTACATCATGTCAAATAAATAGCCCATAAATACAATATAGTCAAGATCTTTTAACATATCTATCAGAAAACTGGGAGTTCTCATGGATGGTCTAGCCCACGTTTCTATCCAGTACAGTGCTCAGTGACATATCTACCAGCACCTCTGCGTGCCAGTACAGCACCACACATCTCTGTTCCCTGCTGCACCATGTTCAGATGCACTCCCCTTATTCCCCCTCCTTCACTTCCAGGCTTTTGTTCTAGCTCCTTCCTTTGACCAGTCATAAGGTAACGCTCTATCACCACTTCTTGTTTTGGTTTCTGGAGACTATAGTTTATGGGAAGGATGAGATTTCCTGCCATTCTCAAGTCACTTTGTGTTTCCCCTTCTTTTTTTTTCCTAATGTACTCTATTCCTTCATTCTTGTTCACTACTCCTAACTCTTCCTATTTTTTTCCACTTTTCTAGCTATCATTTCTCTCTTCTCCCTCTTCCCTTCAACTCGTTACTTCTCCTATCAGCTCTGCCCCATCCCACTGAAGCTCTCCAGCTAGATGTACTACCTGCTGCAGTGAGGGGAAGCGGTGCATCTGAATTCAAGTTGTACTATATATACTTAAAGAAAGAGCAATACATAACCTTAGTGTTCTCTCCTCCCTCTGCTAAATTCCCAAATGCAGAAGCCTCCTGTTCTCTAAACAATCTTAAATAAAACTAAGGAGAGAACTAAATGGAAAACAAACAGGGCACTAGATGCCAGACTGCAGAGCTCTCAGCTGCTCTCTCTCCAGCAGGGCAGCCCACCTCCCATCAGGCTCCTGCTCTGCAGAGGGATCTCAACTTGACTGCACATTACCCATTCTTCCAAATAACAAGAGTGGGGTTCTCTGGTCCCTGTTCAGAGCCATGTGTTGCCCAAAACCAGACCATATTTTCCAGCACACTTCGCTGATCAGCCCCTCGCTTTCACAGCATCCGCAAAGCACGTGTCAATAAACAGCTGCTGCTCTGAAATTACTGACTTCCTGCCTTTCGCACCTAAAATGAGGGTATCCTGCCCTACCTTCCAGTTAGGACACACTTTCCAATGCCTAGTGAGGGGAGGATCAGGGGCAGAGCACATCAGGGTGCTACACATTCGCATCATAATCAATACAATATTGTCTGTGTAATAAAAGGGCTTTAATTAAAGCAACATCAGAAAATAAATCAGCAACACCAAGAGATCATTATCTCATCCCTGAGAATGATCAGAATAAAAATGTAGAAAGCCTTGGTTGGGAGGGTGGAAATGAACTAACTAAAAAGGGATAATACTACAAGTTTATATGTTCTTTGTGGTTGTTTTTTTTTTCCTTTTCCCATTTTCTAGAGGATCATTTCTAATCTGGCTGTCACCTCTGCATGAATTATTACATCAGGCTCAGTAGGCTGTAGATATAGACAGAGACTAAACACACATACACCACACTCATACACACTGACACATAATTCTTTCTTGCACTGCTAAATGGATGCAGAGAAAGCAACAATAGAATGTGTCTCTCACGTTTAAATTGAAAGTCAGAAGAGGAAAATCCTCTTCCCAGTGCAAGAATAAGAATATATATTTTCACTTATGTATGTTTATACTTGACTACACAAAGATACACACATACACACACACAAACTGAGAGAAGGAAAGAGGGAGAAAGAGAGACAGCAGAAAACAAAGATCTTCCTACTGCCACCACAATGCAGTAGCCCTGCTAATACGAAAAGATTCAATTGTTGTGCACAAGCAGATCTCCAAAGATGTGGTCTGACATGCATCTCTTGTTTTCTATTTAGATGCACTCTCAGAATACTGAGTTACAGATTTTAAATATGCAGAATCAGTGCAGGAAACTATGGGGAAAAAGCAGAAATAGGTTCCTCCTAACGACTCAATTGAATTACTTTGAAAAGATTAATTAAAATTGAATTCTCTTTTGACACAAAGTCTCCTGTTTGCTAGTTCTTGGTATTACTATTACCTAGCTTCCATTAGGAGATATTATACTCCTTAATGAAATAAACCTCAAGGACCCAGTGGGATCAAACAAAGTTTACAGTATTCTGACAGCAGCAGCGGGAGAGGTTGCAAAGCGAGCTGGCAGGCTTAATGAAGAAGGGTTGACATATCATCACTGAATTCCTATCAGCGATCTGTGTCATTGCTTTTTTAAGGTGCAAAAGGTCAAATAATTGGGTGATGTGCTGATTAGGAAACCGCTTGACTTGCAAAATGAGAACCTAAGCTAAGATCTTTATTTAGTCTCTCCAAAAAAGCAGGGGGAAGGAATGGGAGCAGGAGGAGGGGAGCTCCCCCAGTCCTTGAGTACAGTTTCATAACTAGATATGAATTATTAAAAAGGAAAAGGTCATTTGAATCTCCACTACATGACTGTACTTTCACCATCAGCATTTGGGGAAGCCATGCAGGGGATCACCTTATTACGGATCAGCGCAAATGAATTAGATAAAAGACCGAGAGCATTCACACTGCAGTCAGTACTTCAAGTCTGCCATGCTATAAAATATTGCTTCGTGCTTCATCATATCGCACTTGCAGACTAATGAGACATTTGGCATACTAAGAAACCATCTAAAATGAACATGAGGGCAGGATCTGGCCCTGGATGATATAAAGAAAGTGCCCACGCTGAGCAGACTTAACGCTGGCACATTAAAAGAGCTGCTGACCACTTTCACTGTGTAAGGAAAATCAATCTCAGAGAGGCAGAGAAAATATTGTTTGCATCTCTTATTTCTAAGCATTCTTTTCTGGCACTTACAATGACAAAATGAAATTCCCAGTGTCATAAGCCTTCACCCCAGAAGTCGGCACTCGCTGCAGAAGGTCGCCTTGGTGGTTTGGGTCACCATAACAGGGCCCACAGAACAGGAATTTCCCACCTCCTGAATGTGCGTGCCCAGCTACACAGACAGCAGCCTCATAATGGAAAGTTAAAATGTAAACACAAGCTGCTATTTTAGTACAGTCATACCAATGCAGCTGCCTGTGCTCTTTCTTTTATTTCCAGAATGGACAAAGTGCTTGAATCAAAATATACAGGTATTCTGTTGTTGTTGTTCTCTAAGTGTCCTGACAATTAAATCTTGCTCACAAAAGTAATTCTTACTTACCTTATTCTTACAATAAGAGTTGACAGTGTTCAGACTAAAGGATGCCAGAATCCGTTTCTCCCTGGATAATAAAAATACAAACAGAAATCAAACCCAAGCAGACTAAATAAAGTATTATAAGAACTGACAATGCTTTGTGAATTTGAAAGGTTACATTGCTCAGTTGAAAATAAAACTGAAATCCTGATTCAGCCCTGAGCTTTTGCCTCCCCATTTTACAGCGTTTAAAGGCATTCTTCCTTTTGTCACAAGGGCAGTTGTTCACAAAGGACTTCATTACTATCACCTCTCTCATCCAGTCCAGATGGCCAGAAGTGATGAAAATCCAAAGGTATTCCAGAAAGTGACCTTGGAGATGCTCTTGTGATTCAAAATTCAGGAAAGATCATAAGCCAGATTCTGGAAGCATCCCTGTTTCAGCTGTAAAGAAAGCCAGTGCACCTAGACAGCAGCTGATTTTTAAAGGACAACAGCAGACTTCCCCCAGTTGACGAGACATCTGCTGCAGTATTCCACAATCCCCAATTTACAAAGGAAATGAGAGCTAGTTTGAATCACATACGTCAATAGTGAGGATTTTTGCCTTCTTATCCTTCAGATTCTATTACCTATAACAAGATAAAATGACGATGCCTGTTAAGAAACGAAAACTGAGGGAAGAATCAGGGAAAAACATAGAGGCGTAAGACAGTTTACTTTTTTCCCCATAATTCATCTGCTAGCTTTGCTTGCAGAAGTTGGCCGAAGTGAAACCACAGGTCTGTGCCATTCTCAGCATCTCAGTGTTAAGATGCCTGTATAGCTTCTCTACCCCAACCACACCTGGCTCTGCAAAATAAAAATTAAATCAATGAGGTTTGCAACACAAAAGCCACCCTCTCACTTTTGCTGAGCACTGTTTGAAATAAAGATGGATCATAATGTGAGTCATTTATCTCTCCTCTCTGATGCATTCACACACACGCCTACCACTGTAGGGGGATTGAGAGAAGTGACCTGAATCTCAAGCACCCTTGGGTTTGCAAACAAAACCCAGCCAATGAGATGATGCAAAACCTGAACTAAATCCACAGCTTCCACTTCACCCCATTTTTCTCCTCTTGTTATTTTAGCTAGTGAACGTACATGAGGAACAGTGTCATGTAATGAAACTGCATATTGTGTAACAGTTCCAGAGCAAGACATTCCCATCTCACACAACAGACATTCAAGCAAGCAGACTAGGTGAAATCCCAGTTGGCTGCAATACTTGTTCTTATTTTAATTGTTTATTGAAAACAGCATGACAGATGCAAAAGAATGGTAGAAGGAAGAACAAGAAATATTGGCTTCTTTCACAGACTCGGCCCCCCACACGAGCCATGTGCAAAATCAATTCCTTAATTATATATAAAAAAAAAAAAAAACAACAGCAACGTAAGTAGAACTAGTACTAGTAATATGAGAGAGAAATGAAAGAAGCAACAAAAGAAAAGAGAAGGGCTACAAGGGAAAGCTGGGCAGAGGCACATGTGTGGGCTGGAGGCACAGTGCAGGGGCATGCTCCTGGCAGAGAGGTTTCCCTCCAGCAAAGAGCAGAAGGCAGGGCAGGCGGAGGGGAGAGAAGGGCGACGGTAAGGGAAGCAGGAACAAAACTGAACCTGAGATAGAAAAGCATTATTTATTGTATTCTGCTTATTTTGCTTAGGCCAGTCCTCAGACTTTCTTCAGAAGCAGACTCATGCCTGCTCTGTGCCTCCTCTGCTGACTCATTCCACTGACTTACAGAGCACATAAAAATCAAGAAGAACGAATCCAGGTGTCAAGAGATCTGCCCCTGTTCCTTGCAACCTAAAAAGGAACTTGTTAGTGTCACCTATGAAAGAGTGGTGGCTTTACTTCAGTGATAGAATGATCCCAGTAGGTGCAGAGGATCACTTTTGCTGGCAAGCATTAAGCATGTTTTTCTCCAATTTATCTTCCCAGTATGATTCATTCCACTCATCCACTTGAAAAAATATGCTCAGGGTCATCTCATCTGCTTGCACAGCGAAGTCCATCACCATACTGATAGATCAGGGTTCAATTTCTTGCCCAAACACAGACAACAAGAAAGTGCATACAAATTCTGTCCCTGACTAACTGTCTCTGGAAATGACAAAGCAGATCTATCCAGGCCAGCTGACAATTCCTATGGAGACCCAAGCTCGTGATGCCAGAACTGGATGGGATCTGAATACAGCCAGTGGAGATCTAAGTTAGAATATGAAATCATTCCCCTCACAACAAATTATGCCTTGGAGAGCACTGTTATCCTACACAACCAACCCTTTGATTCAGTCCTTCAAAGGGCCAAAGGAAATTACACGGGATGAACAATGGAAGGACAGTAAAACACTTCAGATACTTCTGCTTTTACCTGCTCTCGTGGGAAGTGCCTCCACACACCTTTGTGCATCCTGCTGAAGGAACCCCTCTGTGCCCCTCGCCAGCATGTTCCTGCTGTGACAAAGGCTGCAGTGCCCAGCTGGTTACCCCAGCCTATTGACTCCACTCCTGAACAGTACTTTTGAGCAAGATCTTTGGATTTTCAGGCTGGTAAGTCTGGCTGCTTTCACTTGGACTAAATCAAATGCTTCTCAGGCTTCCCTGTCTAAACCACACTGATCCTTCTTGGCCTTTTGGCTGTATTTTATGAAATATCTGATGTCCTCTGTCTCTAGAGGACAATTAGCTGCTGCTACCAAAGGATGAACCATATGATCTCATACTTGTCTTTCAACTCTGTCTTTTGAGGTTTCCAGAATTTTTCCTGAGATTTTTATTTGTTCCCAAAGAAATCCTTATATACTCAATAGTTTGCCCAATTGGCATTGCTCAGGCTAATAAAGATACTGGCTCCCCCGTGAGCCTTGCCACACCTGTATTTCAGGTGCTACACACACAGGTGTTTCTCCTCCAGAGGAAGAGTGTATGGAAACATTAAAAAATACGAAAATTCCCCCAGATTTGCTCTTACTCTCAGAGACCAAACATTAACCCTGTTTTCTTGTACCCAAGCATTACTACCATTGTGCTTCTTCCTCTTTCACACTCCCCAGCAGACACGATCCCATTCTCCTGCCTGTATATGCATGTTTTTTCCCCCACAACCCTCAACTGCCTTTGCTGCTTCTAGGGGGTTAGATTCTGAAATATCCTTTTCAAAGCTGGGATGGATGTTTGCAATTGGGGCTTATTAGTTTCCTATGGCAGCTATCTCCAAGGCTGCTTTGTCATATATCTCTTTGCAGGAGATTTAAGCATGGCAGAGAGGCTTTGCAGATAAAGATTTGAATTGCAACCTTTACACCAGAAGTGTAATAGGAACATCAGGGAATTAAATAAAATTATGTTTTTCCTAGATGTCTGCTTAAAGAGGAAATGCAGGGTTTTATGGATGCCCCAGAGACAAACTATTACATTACACTCCTCACAGTTCTTATCTGAGCACTGTCTATTTGAGCACCTCAAATAGCACAGAATCATTCATAAAAAATGGTCAAGAGAGACTGTGTCCCATCAATATTTCAAGCTTGGTTATCAAATCAAGAGAAAGTCAGGAGTCCTGCTCCAGATCAACATTTGCAGGTTTGATATGATTGTTTGGCAGTTTAGTTTCTTTTTTCCCTCTGCATTCTCATTGTCTTTAATATTTTATATAACCTTCCAGTTGATGGTTATTGTAATATTTATTAATTTTTCTTTACTTGGCTGCACTAACCAGTTTGCTCCTTTCTATTTCTGCAGGGAGAAATTCACACTCATTTGCTATTTGTGGGGTGATGACACAGTGTGAAGAAGCAGTAATGATGACTGACTGATAGAAGACACCATATGTTCTCTTCGTTTTTCTCTGTGCTATTTTATGAGAGAGGAATAAAGTCTCAGTGTAAGATGAACTTTCCAGTAATAAACAATATTAAAAAAACATGATTTTTTACACATAATTGGCAGGATTGGGGAAATGCTGTTTTTTCTAATGCATTCGGATGACATTACTATAAATATCAGGCTCCAAATCACTGAGAGAAATAATTTATATGGGAAAGATTTTAAATGCATCTGAGCACCAAAAGCAGTTTCATAATTAAATTTCACTCTCTTCCTAATGCCTTTCAGTCTTTCACAGTAAAAATTCCAAAACCAGACACTGTTTATGACTAAACAAAGGTTAGGAACTCCACCAATTTTAAAGAATGCTGTATATAATCCCATTAACTACATGCCAGTCTGTACTCCAAGACAGCCAACAAGCTCCACCACAAGCAGCTGCTAGTACTGCCAGAGCCAGCACTGTGTGTGGGGGTGTTTCCTTACACACCCAGTGCACGAGTTGACATACCTAGTAAGACCAATGGCTCCCTTCAGTAAACCTTGCATTGGCTTTAGCATGTTTTAAAGAAAGAAGAAATTTCATTTTCGATAAATACATGAAAAGCTTTCACTGTTACAACTCATGCACTTAAGTGCATCTTCTTACAAACTCCTGAATATTTTTGTTTTCCCCACTTCCTTAATCTACCCTCTCAAATCAAGGCTGTCTGATTTTTGCTCTTCCTCCTAACTTCACAATAGTCACTAACTAAAACCAGACTGCATCCAGAGCCACACACGTATCTGCTCACATTATTAGGCAGTCAAGAGCAGAAACAAAGAAGTAAACAAAAGGGATTCATGGTGCCTTCTGTTTCATTAGAGACAAAGAAAGAAGGGAAAAAAAAAAAAAAAAAAAAAACCCACAACAACAAACCTCCTAAACACAAAAATTAACTCAAGAAATAGTAGCTTCAAGATACCATTTCAAATTTCCAGTAATGCTTTGGTAGTAATGGAGACAGAACCAAACAAAACCTGACCACGAACCCTTCAAGGTGAGGGGCAGCAACTCCCCAACACCACACCTAGAGCCAGGACTCAGGGCTTGGTGCCAAGATCATCCATTTAACGCCTTTATCATAACACAAGCTGGGCAGAAAGAGAATCCCCATTTGCTTACTTTGTTCTGCCAATGCAGCAGGAAAAGTGTCTTGATGCAGAGCAGAGCCAGCCCACAGCACTCTCCTGCTCACCTACCATAGCCACAGACATCAGGACAAGCTTAAATTCCTGGTCTGTAACTCAACACACCTGCCCCAGTTAGCCTGACTTCCTCACGCTGTTACAACCCATGCATTCTGCATCACAGGAAGAATATGACAGTAGCTGAAGTGAAGGTTTTTGTGGAAGGAATGTGTTCTATTCTGCCTCTGAACTCCCAATCAGAATGAATGCAGTTCCCCAAAAAGCTGTACTGTGTGCACTTCATTTTGCTGTTACAACAGAACTGCATGAAGTCAGATCTCAAAACTCTCAGCCAAATACTCCATTCATCAGCAAAGCACTACCTACAGGATCGGGTCCCTAATCAATACTTTAATATAACACCTACTTAATTGGAATAATTGATTGCCAGGCATCAGACTAAGCGTAATGTATTTCTGCTAGTCTGGACAAAGGATAAATGTCATGGATTATTTATAAGACACACCTGCAACTATGTAGAGGGTGGCAGATACGACACGCAGTTAGCACCGTATGCGTGCAGCGCTTTGTTAAGGACAATGACAGGGATGCCAGCACAACAGTCAGGCCTGCTGGGCATCATCGGGTCCCACCGCCGGGCTCCTACAGGTCAGTTCACAGCCACGCGGTCACAGCCAGCTACCACTGCACAGGATGCTCCGGGGTTACCTCCTCACCCGGGTTCTGCCATTACCAGGCTGTTTATTCCACTGCACCCTCGTGAAGGAAAAGCCTCTCAATATTTTAGGATGGAAGACAGCCAGCAGAGAGTGCAAGAGGCCCCGTCTGCGCACTTACCGCACAGTTTGCAGCCCCACTCCCAGACGTGACACCTTGGCCCCGCTGCGCCCCAGCTGCCCCAGCAGCTCAGGTTCACTGTCCAAGGTCACCGCCATCGCCACCACCGGCACCGCCGCGCGGCGCCCACCCAGCCGCCCCAGCCCCGCTGCCGCCCGGCGCCGCGCTCCCACCCGCGCAGGACTGCTCTCCCCTGCCGTTCCGCAAATCCATCTATTTTCAATCCCGTCGCTGAACCGCAGATCGGAGGAGGACATGACCGGCAGGCAGCTCGCACCTACACACAGCTACGCGGAACCTCCTCGCCGGCTCCCTCTCGGAAAGCAGCATCCCGGCGGCTTCCCCGGCTCGGGATCCCCCGGCCGGTAACTTTCCGGGGGGACCGCGCGCAGGCCTCCCACCCCGCTTTACCCTTC